GGCGCCGCGCTGCCCTCCCTAGGGACGGGGAGGAGAGGAGAGAGGAGGGAAGGGGGTTCTGCCCTGCACCCACCTGCGTCCCCGCCCCGACGGGGGCTGTCGACGGGGCCCCGGCCGGTGCTTCCCCTCAACCCTACCCCGAGGGGCGGTTGGGAGTGCTCTCACATGAGTGCGGGTTCGGGTATCGCCCCTCCGCCTGGCGGCGACTCAGGGTTATTCAGCCGATACTGGCTAAGTCTGGGGGCAGGAGCCGGGCGCGGTGCTGTGGAGTGCATCCCATAGGTGCAAATCCTGAGTATCAGTGGGTTTGAGATTCCTTAAGGTGGACTCTTGCAATGGTGTTTGTCTTTTTGTGCTAACCTGCGCTTTCCCTTCCTCTCCCTCTCACTTTTTGATGCAGAAATGAGAAGCAGAAGGAAGAAAAGGTTCGTGTCCAGCCCCCGCTACGTGGAGACCATGCTGGTAGCCGACCAGTCCATGGCCGAGTTCCACGGCAGTGGGCTGAAGCACTACCTTCTGACGCTGCTTTCCGTGGCAGCTAAGCTCTACAAGCACCCTAGCATCCGCAACTCCATCAGCCTGGTGGTGGTGAAAATCATGGTCATTTACGAGGAGCGGAAGGGACCCGATATCTCTTCCAATGCTGCCCTGACTTTGAGAAACTTCTGCAGCTGGCAGAAGCAGCACAACCCACCCAGCGACCGGCACGCTGAGCACTACGACACAGCAATCCTCTTCACCAGGCAGGTGAGGGACACAGAGGTCAAATCCATTGCTCCCTGCCCCCAGAGGCTCCCTCTGCCAGGAGACCTCTGAAAAAGTGGTCAGAGGCATTCTGGTGTCATCACAGCTTCAGTGAATTAGGCTAAAAATGAAATTATCTGCTTTTTATTCAGTCATTTATTCTGCTGTTTGCACTGTCTCAGGTGAAACTCACAATATATGCAACGTATTCCTGCCTCATATATTTTTAGCAGATTTAGTATGGAAATTATGCATTTTATTTCTGCGTGTAACCCTTGTGTACGTTCCAAAGACAGATTTTTGCCATCATACCCATTGAAGTGCTGAATATTTATGCTCTTTCCATAAGTAAAGGCAAACTGCCAGGGCTGGATGTTCCTTGCCAAGGTTAAGTCTCTGATCTGATTAATAATGAAACTGCCTTTTTTTACAGGACCTCTGCGGTGCCAAGACATGTGATACTCTTGGGATGGCTGATGTGGGAACAGTTTGTGATCTAAACCGCAGTTGCTCTATCATAGAAGATGATGGTTTACAGGCTGCCTTTACAACGGCCCACGAACTAGGTACTTGAAACTGCAAGGCGATTTCACGTGATTAATTGAAGCCAGCTCGATGCTGTAAAGCAAAGAGCTGCCCATCCCGCACCCTACAGGGCATGGAGCACCCTGCACTCCCCAGTGCAGTTGGGAGGAGGCAAAGCATTGCCTTGTGACAGGATTGAACTGTGGAAAGCAAGTCTGGTCTGCACAGCATCGTTTGCAAGAGCTGTGTATTTGACTGCAGAAAAAAAAGGCGTGTGAGAAGCCTGTGAGGGAAGCAAGCACACAGTGCCATCTACTTAAAGTTTGGCAGTATTGAGATTCAGGTTATTATTTAAAGACCAGGCTATGAGCAGCTCTAGAGTAATATTTAAAATAATACTGGTAATGCATAGGACAGACTTCCTAAAGTCACTAACTTTCCTTCTTTTTTTTTTTTTTTTAAGGCCACGTGTTTAACATGCCTCATGACGATGCAAAGCAGTGTGCTGGTATTAATGGAATAAGCCGCGATTTCCACATGATGGCATCTATGCTTTCCAATCTGGATCGCAGCCAGCCTTGGTCTCCATGTAGTGCCTACATGATTACAACATTTTTGGATAACGGTCATGGTAAGATTATTAAGCTTTCCATTCATGTGGCATTTAAGCTCTTGTGCTTTACTGCTTTGCTTTTTTTCTTTCTTTCTTTTGCCTTTTTTTTAATGAAGTGCTTTCTGCTACAGCAGTGAGTTAACCTTTTACATGCTGCCAATGAGTTTAGAAGACCCTTAGTTTTACAAGAACAGTGGCACAAATTGGCTCAAAGACTTAAGCTACAAAGCAAATGCAGTTCCAGAGATGGAAATAATTTTTTCCCTTTTGAAACTGAATTTACAGCATTGTCTTGCTTCTTTTTTTTCTTTTTTTCTTTTTTCTCCCTTTTCAGGTGAGTGTTTGTTGGACAAGCCCCACAAACCAATCCAACTTCCTTCTGACTTGCCTGGCACGTTGTACGACGCCAACAGACAGTGCCAGTTCACATTTGGAGATGAGTCCAAGCACTGCCCTGATGCAGCCAGTACGTGTACGACGCTGTGGTGTACTGGCACTTCTGGAGGACTGCTCGTGTGCCAAACCAAACACTTCCCTTGGGCAGATGGCACCAGTTGTGGGGAAGGGAAGTGGTGCATGAATGGCAAGTGTGTGAATAAAACTGAGAAAAAGCATTATGATGTAAGTATTAAAAAAGAAATAAGAATATATCTTGGGTTGCAGAGTAGCACGGATAAGGCTTCAGTGGGAGTAATCAGTTAAAAGGGCTTGAATAAATGGAGGCAGGTAGCTAATAGAGCTTTTTTTACAAGTGGCTTAGGTAAAAATGAACATGATTGTGGTTTTTGTGGTTTGGTTTGGTTTTGCTTTTACTGTATTAACTTTTTTGTTCTGCTTTTGCTTGTCATTCCAGACACCGGTGCATGGGGGCTGGGGGTCCTGGGGGGCATGGGGAGAGTGCTCCCGGACCTGTGGCGGTGGAGTGCAGTACTCCTTCAGGGAGTGTGACAACCCTGTCCCAAGAAACGGAGGGAAATACTGTGAAGGGAAGCGAGTGCAATACAGATCATGTAACATCGAGGACTGTCCGGACAATGATGGTAATCTTTGCTCCATTTTTGAGGTGGAGTAAAGGTATCTTGTGGAGGAAAAGCATGTACAGAAGATGATCTAATGGCCACCTGTTTTTCCTCTGCCTGCAGGCAAAACTTTTAGGGAGGAACAATGTGAAAAGCACAATGAGTTTTCCAAGTCTCCCTTTGGAAGTGGACCTGCAGTGGAGTGGACACCCAAGTTTGCAGGTGTCTCTCCAAAAGACAGATGCAAGCTGGTCTGCCAAGCAAAAGGAACAGGATACTTCTTTGTTTTACAGCCAAAGGTATTTAAAAACTGTACCTCTTCTATCTAATCATGAACAGGATTTTTATTTCCTCTTAACTCTTTTTGTGAAGTTAAGAGTCCAGGAGTATAGAAATTTGAAATTTTGTCTTCCTCATATTTAAGCTAGAGTCTCCCTTCTCCTCTTCCTACATGTACAGCTTGATCAGTGCAAGCATGCTTTAAATACTCTGGCACAATCGTTCCAGTTACTTCACACGTATTGCCTCTTCTACCGACTCCACCCTAGTTCCCTTTCCTCTCCTTCCAGCAGTTTGATTACATTGAGATAAGTTTGGAAAACTGTGGGAGTTCTTTGCCAAAACATCGGTGCTTTCTCATACTGGTTACTAATACGCCGACAGCTTAAAATAAACAGAAGGAAAAATGTTCATCTTGCATAGCTACTTGAACTCACTGTCATAAGATGTTGAGAGCCAATAACTACCAGGGCGATGACACAGATGTTTCTTGCAGAGCAGTGCTCCCAGAAATAAAGAATACATTGAATGCCATTAAAAGCAGTTTTGGTCCTGTACTTCGAGGACATGACTACTTTCTAGTGACATTAGAAAACAATGTTCTTTCTTTATATGAAATCAATAAAACAGTACTGTGGGGTTTTTTAGGGGGAGGGAGGTGTTAATAAAAACTTAAATTGTCTGTTTTTTCCTGTCACTGTGGCATCATTTTTGCAAGTGAGATGAAGCAGCCCTATATACCTCCAACTATCTATGGGTTGCTTTGTTTTTTAGTTGCAAAACCCTTGGAAATACAGGGGCTGTAGGTCTTCCACCTGTCCAATTTTCTCATCTTGTATGTGTCTGTATTACACAATATCAAAGCAATGTGCATCTTCTAATCAAACGCCATACTGCTGCTTTCCTGGACAGGTTGTGGATGGTACCCTGTGTAGCCCCGATTCCACCTCTGTCTGCGTCCAGGGGCAGTGTGTAAAGGCTGGCTGCGACCGTATGATAGGATCCAATAAGAAGTTTGACAGATGCGGTATCTGTGGTGGCAATGGATCCACTTGCAAGAAAGTGTCTGGAACACTTGTTAGAGCAAAGTGAGTATACGACTGCTGATGGTATTTTATTCTCATGAATGTTTTGTGGGTGTAAGCTTTGGGTTTTCAAGTCAGTGAGATATTGCCCCAGTTTATCATTGAAACTGAGATTTGATGTGTTGGGGCCATCTGTCTGAAGATAACTTACAGTGAGATCCCAGCAAAAGAAAGCCTCTTCCACATGGATGCATCTCTGCTGTAGTAGTAACATGGGATGTGACTGCAAATCCCTTAATCCTTTAATTCTATTAGGTCGGCAGCTTATTAACTTAACACTTCGGCTTCAAATGAAAGCCAGTCTTGTGCCAGGAAGCTTCTTTCCTCTTGCAGGGAAAAGCAGAGGACTCAGTCTTTCTCTTTTCTGTTGGGCAGACCCGGCTACCATGACGTTGTCATCATTCCAGCTGGGGCAACGAACATCGAGGTGAAGCAGCGAAACCACAGGGGTGCGAGGCACGATGGCAGCTTCCTCGCTATCAAAGCCGCAGATGGCACCTACATCCTCAACGGCGATTACACACTGTCGACGCTGGAGCAGGACATCACCTACAAGGGCAGCGTGCTGAGGTACAGCGGCTCCTCCGCTGCCCTGGAGAGGATCCGCAGTTTCAGCCCTCTGAAGGAGCCTCTGACCATACAGGTCCTCACGGTAGGGGACCTGCCGCAGCCCAAGATCAAGTTCACCTATTTCGTGAAGAAGCCCGCGCAGCCTGCTTCAGAGAAGGTGCCCAGCAGAAAGAAAGAGTCCTTCAATGCTATCAGGGAGATCATCTCCTCCGAATGGGTCATCGAGGAGTGGGGCGAGTGCTCCAAGTCGTGTGGCTCAGGCTGGCAGCGGCGGGCAGTGGAGTGCCGGGACCCCCAAGGGCGGCCAGCCGCCGACTGCGCCCGAGAGCTGAAGCCTAGTGACGTCCGTCCCTGTGCTGACATGCCCTGCCCACAGTGGCAACTGGGGGACTGGTCGCCCTGCTCTAAGACGTGCGGGAAAGGTTTCAAGAAGAGATTGTTGAAATGTATTTCTTATGACGGCAGCGTGCTGCCGCAAGAAAGCTGTGAGCCTTCCAAGAAACCGAAACACCTAATAGACTTCTGCAACGTTACGGACTGCAGTTAAATAGTATAAGTTGGGAAAGCTAAATCTTTATTATTTTATTTTTTTCCTTCAGAACAATGCACTGAACAAAAAAAAGGGCTAAGAGGCAGTGCGTGTATTTTTGCATACAAAATTAATGGTGAGGATCCATTGAGGTGGAACAGTGCAAATAGTTGGCATTGCATTCTGAAAATACCCTGCCAACTGAAAATTTGATTATAGCAGATCCATGTCACTCTCTCGTCTTCAGGAGATAAGGCCCAAGGGCATTATAATTGCCTTTTTTAAAAGTCTGTTACAAACTAAACAAAACAGGAGCAGTGGCCAAAACGTGTTTAAGCAAACATTTTGGGGTTCGGTCATTTCTCCTTTCTTTTGGCTTTATTTTGTGGTACTGATCAAGTCCCCACGTGTAGGAAG